CATCCATTTCCTCTGCCAGGTGTGTGAGTTGCATGCAGTGCGGGGCCGTTTCACCAGGCTTCCACTGTGAGTGGCAGAACAGTTATACCCACTGTGGGCCCTGTGCCAGCCTGGTGACCTGTCCGGCGTGTCGTGCTCCTTATGTAGAAGAAGATTTGTTAATCCAGTGCCGCCATTGTGACCGGTGAGAGGCCCTCTTCCTGCCCTTCCTCCCCTGCTCCCTCAGTCCCACCTCTCAGGCTTGCTTCATGCCTCTGCCCCTCTCTCCTCCCCCAATGCCAGGTGGATGCATGCTGGTTGTGAGAGCCTATTCACTGAGGAAGAGGTGGAACAAGCAGCAGATGAAGGCTTTGATTGCGTCTCCTGTCAGCCCTACGTGGTGAAGCCTGTGGGTGAGTTAGTAGCAGGAGCTGTGGGGAAAGGGGCTTGGAGAACTTGGAGAACAGGCCTCTCATTCTGCCTCTGCTCCTCCCCATTCAGTGCCCATTGCGCCACCAGAGCTCGTGCCTGTGAAGGTGAAGGAGCCAGGTAAGTTGGGAATCATAGAATGTTAGATCTGGAAGGGACCTTAGAGATAATCTGGGCCAACTTCCTCATTTCACAGATGAGGAAACCAAGGCCCAGAGAGAGGAAGATACTTGTCCCAGATCACTCAGTTAGTTAGTGGTGGAGCTGGGACCAAAGGCCTAATGTCCTGATTGCTCCTTTAATGCTTTTTGCCGTTTTACTATCCCTGTTGATAATCTCACCAGAGAACACGGTTCAGGTAGGCAGCTTAGAATAAGGGTGCTGTTGTTTGTCATCTGGGGTATTTAATCTTGGCATTCAGTAAATGGGGAACTTCACTGGTCACGTCAAACCCCTGGGTCCTGGAGAGCAAGGTCAATGTACCCAGGGTTAATGGTAATGAAATCAAAAGTTTGCTCCAGTGCCAGAGAAATTCTTTTTTGAATTTTCCCTTGATTTAATCATAAAGAGTCAGGTCCCTGTTGGTGCTTGGGAACAGACGAAAGTATGCCCGGGGACCCATTTTTCCAGAGAATGTCCAAGTCCCAGGGGCTTCAGTTTAGTCTGTTTCTTCCTCTACCCATTCTTCCATCTGTTTGTGGCTCTGCCCTTGAACTGGGTTAGCGGCTGTTGGCCTGCCTGGCAGCTGTGACTCTCCTAGCCCCTTTACTCCGGAGTCACCTTCTCCCTCCTCTCCCTCACAGAGCCCCAGTACTTCCGCTTTGAGGGAGTATGGCTGACGGAGACCGGCATGGCTGTGCTTCGAAATCTGTCCATGTCCCCCCTTCACAAGCGGCGTCAGAGGCGTGGGCGGCTTGGCCTCCTAGGTGAGGGCGGGCTAGAGGGGCCGGAGCCCTCGGACCCCGGCGGCCCCGACGACAAGAAAGATGGGGACCTGGATGCTGACGAGTTGCTCAAGGGCGAAGGTTTGGCTGAGGGTCAGAGTTTGGGCTAGAAGTGGAGTGGTTGAATGTCAATCTGTCCCAGGATCACACCGGAGCCACTCGCCTTGTCTGGGTGTCTCTGGGAAGACTCCTGGCTCTGCTCTAGGACTGGGTTTGAGGGAGGTGAGCTTTGGGGGAGTATTGTGCCCTCCCACCCACATACCTGACCTTTCTCCCTTACTCTTGCTGGCAGGGGTCGGTGTGGAGCACATGGAGTGTGAGATCAAGCTGGAGGCTCCTGCCAGCCCTGATGGGGAGCCTGGCAAGGAAGAGACTGATGAGGGCAAGAAACGCAAGCGCAAACCGTACAGACCTGGTAGGCGTCTACAGGGCGGGGGTGGACGTGGAGGTGAGGGAAGAGGGGACTGAAGAAGTCCGCCCAGCCCTCCTAGCCACTCCTTATTCGGGTCATACTGCTTTCTAGGCATTGGGGGCTTCATGGTTCGACAACGCAAGTCTCACGCTCGTCTGAAGAAGGGGCCCGCCGTGTTGGTGGAAGTGCTGAGTGGGGAGGGCCAGCCTGATGAGGGTGAGTTGGATTAGGACGCTAGAGTGGGGTGGCGCTCAAGGGCAGGAGGTTCTTGGGGTAGAGAATGGGTGGTGAATTGGACAGGACAGAGGGGAAGGGGAAAGGTTTTAGCTGCCACCCTTCTCTTCTAGTTGTGACAGTTGACCCACCTGCAGAGGGTGCAGTGGAGCAGAGCCCAGCCGAAGGTGATGAGAAGAAGAAGCGTCGGGGTCGAAAAAAGAGCAAGCTGGAGGACATGTTTCCTGCCTACCTGCAGGTAGGAACTAAAACAGAAAGGGCGAGAAGGGAGCACGGGACTGAAGGGTCTAGCAGAGAATGATAACTTTTTGTCCTTTGCCTCCTTCTCTCTCTTCCTACCACGTAGGAAGCCTTCTTTGGGAAAGCACTGTTGGACCTTAGCCGAAAGGCATTGCTGGTGGCTGGAGATGGACGACTGGGCTTTGTGCCAGGCACCCCCAGGGGCAAGGGGGACCCAGGCCCTGATAGAAAAGAGGCTTCTGCTTCACAGAAAGGTCAGTGGATCTCGAAAGGAGGGTGTTGGTTGCTGTAGCAGTTGGGCAAACATTGGAGGGTAGAGTGAAGTGGACTTGAGCATTTAACCATGGCATTGGGTGTCCAGCATAGGCACTAGTAGGAAGGAGGGTATTTCTGATGAGAATGGTGGCTGCTTCTCATAGGGGAGGATGGACCAGATGTTGCAGATGAAGAGTCCAGAGGCCCTGAGGGCAATTCAGAGACTCCAGGTAAGGAACATTGGGGTGAGCAACCAAATTATTTTTCCTTTTTAAATGTTTTATTGATTTTTTTTTCTTTAATATCACTGTCAATATCTGCTACCCTGCCCCAAGCCCTCACCACTTAGTAGAACAAATCAACACATGGGTCATGTGGTTTTTTTGTTTGTTTGTTTGTTTTTAGTGAGGTAGTTGGGGTTAAGTGACTTGCCCAGAATCACATAGCTAGGAAGTATCATATGTCTGGGGCCAGATTTGAACTCAGGTCCTCCTAACTCCAGGGCCGGTGCTCTATCCACTGCTCCACCTAGCTGCCCTCATGGGCCATGTTTGATGATACATATCTTAATCTGCTTCACTGTCAGGCCTCTGAAGTCACAATTAGTCATTGCATTGATCACAGTTCTGAAGCTTTCACTGTCTTCTTTTATGTTATTGTGGTCATCATGTAAATTAAATTACCCTCCTGATTATGCTTACTTCAACCTGTATCAGTTCATACAAGAAGTTTTCCTGGGTTTCTCTGAATTCTTCATATTTGTCATTTCTTACAGCTAAAAAAAAAAACGACATTCATATCCACTATTTGTTTAGCCACTTTTCAGTCAGTGGATACCCACTTCCTTTCCACTGCAAAAAGTGCTGCTCTAAATATTTTTCATCTATCTGGGACCTTTCTCTCTGTCTTTGACCTCCTTGGGCATATACTTAGCTTAGTTTTGTTGAACAACAGAATCCAAGCACTGCCTTGTGGGATGCTGTGATGGGCATCAGTAGGGTAGAGGGTTCCATGGAGGCACGAATGGCTTTGTACCTATCAGCCTCATTTACTCTTGAGAAGTTGGAGATAGGATGGATGGGAGTCAGAGACTACAAAGTTGTCCCGAAGCCCTCAAACCCTAAGCCAGTAGTTTGTGCTCCCATAGGCCCTGAAGATGGAGGCATCAAGACATCTCCTGTACCCAGTGACCCAGAGAAACCAGGAACCCCAGGCGAGGGAATGCTCAGCTCTGACTTGGACAAGATCCCCACAGAAGGTTGGTGCTCCAGTAAAATCTTCCCTCAAGGGTTTGTTTTGGGTTCCTAGCTGATATGTTTTAAAAGGAATGCGTGTTCTCCATATACGTAAGGTGTAGTGAGTTAAGGGAAGGGTGAGAGAGAGCATTTGTCCTTATAGAGCATCCAGTTAGTGAAGATTCCTTCAAAGGGAAGGGGGCTAAGGCAGATTGGGATAAATAGTCTGGGTTAAACAAATACCAGTTGTGGTTATTATCTATGGCCTTGCTTTTCTTGTTTGGCTGTCATGCCAGGCTAGCAGGCAGGTGGTTCCGTTTTCCCTGGTTCTTCTTCCCAACCAGACTTCAGTGGGTCTTGTTACTCCCTCGTTCCATTCCTTAGCCATGCTTACCCATCCTCTTCCCTTTCCCACACAGAGCTGCCCAAGATGGAATCAAAAGATCTTCAACAGCTTTTCAAGGATGTCCTAGGCTCCGAGCGGGAGCAGCAGATTGGCTGTGGGACTCCCAACCTGGATGGGGGTCACACCCCAATGCAGCAGAGGCCCTTCCTACAAGGTGGTATAGTCAGGAACCAGTTGAGAATCAGGGGTGGGGCTACAGGTTGGGGGAACCCACAGGTTGTGGGTGGAGAAAACCAGTATATTCTTCTTTGTACCGGCCATGCCTGTGACCACTATCTACCTTCTACAGGTGGGCTTCCTTTGGGCAACCTCCCTACCAGCAGCCCAATGGACTCCTATCCGGGCCTTTGCCAGTCTCCTTTCCTTGATAGTAGGTAGGTATCTATACCCTACGTTGTGGTTATTCCTGTGGTCCCTTTTCTCTCCCTTCCTCCCCACCACTTGTATAGACACACAGACTTGGTTTTTCAAGTTATGGCCTAGCTACTACCTTCCTTTCTGTTGAGTCCTGGGTCCCTGCCCTCTTTGTCTCCCTCCATGGATGATCACTTGTCATAGGGGTGGGAGAAGGGACATGGGCTTTGAACCATTGGCCCGCTGTGACCTTCTGCCCCTGCGCCCCAGGGAGCGCGGGGGCTTCTTCAGCCCAGAGCCCGGTGAGCCTGACAGCCCCTGGACGGGCTCAGGGGGCACCACACCCTCCACACCCACAACCCCAACCACGGAGGGTGAAGGCGATGGGCTCTCCTACAACCAGCGGAGCCTCCAGCGCTGGGAAAAGGATGAGGAGCTGGGCCAGCTTTCTACAATCTCGCCTGTGCTTTACGCCAATATTAATTTTCCTAACCTCAAGCAGGATTATCCAGGTATGTGCCAGTGTAGAAAGGGGAGCTGAGGTCTGGTATGGGGCAGTGTCACTTCTGTCCTGTCCCCTTTGACCTCTGACCCTTTGGCCTGCAGACTGGGCCAGTCGCTGCAAACAGATCATGAAGCTGTGGAGAAAAGTCCCGGCCACTGACAAAGCCCCCTACCTGGTGAGGATGAGAAAAGGAAGGGAGGCCAGGGCCCCAGGGGAGTTCCACCTGGAAGAGGGGATCCAGGGCCCCAGGGGAGCTCCACCTGGAGGAGGGGATCC